ACCATTGTTTGTCCTTTCTTTGGTTGTTGGTCCTTAGACGCGTGTTCCCATACCAAAATCTTTACATACTTTGGGATTCACCTCATCAGACTGGCACTGCCCTTGGCATGATCTCGAATGAGACGTTTCTCTCTTTTCTCCCATATTCTCCTGTTACTCTTTCGCATTCATCGCTTGCACTCACTTTTTATGTTTGTGACCACGCTTTTCAAAAATAAATGATAATTGTAAGCTTTATATTATGATCGAAGAAGAAGCCACAATATTCGAACTTTTCACATCCTGGATACACCCTAACTGATCACTGGCTCCTCGCTTAGCGCAATCTGGAATCGCATTAATGAACGTAGAGTGAAATAACTTGCCTCATGTGCTCCCAGGCCACATAAATACAATTCTATCACTTCCGTCAAAGTTTCCCATCGATCCACCCTGCTCAACCAGAATGAATTAGTGCTTTTGCACTTGGACGAATTACTACGCTGGCTGCCCCTTCAAGGTGAATGCAACTCCAGTATTTCTGTGACAAGAATGAGGAAGAACAAGATATCTAAAATTCAGGCTAGTTTAATCCATCTGCGATCATCGACCATACACCTAATCGACGCATTTGTCTATGAGGCGAAGGCCAAACCTCCTATCGTTGAATTTCCCTGAACTGCAGGAGCCTGACTTTTGAACGACATGCAAGTATCGTATTTCCAGGGGATTCGCATCCACTTATCATGGGCGATGTTCTCTACATCAAGACAAAGCTGAGGATGACCAGTCAAACTGCTCAAAGTGAGATGAAACAGTGAATGACAAGCATCATTAGATTAACTTGGGACTGGCGGAAAACGTGTTAAAGTAACAGCCTTAGTTGGTATGACTCTGCGAGAAACTGATAATTAGGTCGCTAGATGCATCTATGTTTATGTTTCACAGTGAATCAGATGAGAAAATAACAACCAACCTAACCAAGCGCTACTAAGTGTTTGAAAAAGCGAATGCTTTAATCAGAGTTGATCCGCGTACTAGATAAAAGGAGTTTAATAGACTCTTTGAAGAGAAACCGTCCAACGGTTTTCCCCCTTTTATACATATCCATGTGATTCGTGAGTAGGGCATCATAGCAGCTTCCAGGGGGCGAACATCACGATGAGGTGGTAGACGTATTGTTTCGTTTATTAACTTTGTGGAGGCATAAAGGACCGGGCCGAAAAGAACGCCAGAACGTAACCCTGCCCAAACTACTGTGTTTTGAAAGCGATTTTATCCAAAATAACAAGGTATATATGATTCAGTTTCATTTAAATACTGCTTTTTCGGGCAAAAGAAGATAATCTCTGTCGACGGGTTTTACGGAGCATGCCACAGTGAATGTGGCAACAGCCCACATCTGGGAATCAACACCGAAAGGAAAACGTACTCTTGTCAGTAGAAAACTTGCATGAGCGAACGTGAAACAACCCAGGCGATTGCACACTTACTTTGATTGATGATGTATTTCAGAGCCTCTTCTCCGAATGTGTCGTACAGCGGTACAACCACCAATCCGTAATGAGCACATGCATACTGGGAACATACCCACTAGACGGATTATCGGGAAAGCAGAAGTGGGAAAGCGTTAACCAATGGTCCCAAATATAGAAGTAAGCAGACAGAGAGCGTCTTATTATGAATAATATCACCACATGGAGAAACTATCCACTGAGCTGGGCAAATTGGTTGCAAACGTTTCATCACCAATCGAGGTGCGTAGCGGTGGGTTAGTGGTTGTGCACAACCACTAACCCACCGCTACGCACCTCGATTGGTGATGAAACGTTTGCAACCAATTTGCCCAGCTCAGTGGATAGTTTCTCCATGTGGTGATATTATTCATAATAAGACGCTCTCTGTCTGCTTACTTCTATATTTGGGACCATTGGTTAACGCTTTCCCACTTCTGCTTTCCCGATAATCCGTCTAGTGGGTATGTTCCCAGTATGCATGTGCTCATTACGGATTGGTGGTTGTACCGCTGTACGACACATTCGGAGAAGAGGCTCTGAAATACATCATCAATCAAAGTAAGTGTGCAATCGCCTGGGTTGTTTCACGTTCGCTCATGCAAGTTTTCTACTGACAAGAGTACGTTTTCCTTTCGGTGTTGATTCCCAGATGTGGGCTGTTGCCACATTCACTGTGGCATGCTCCGTAAAACCCGTCGACAGAGATTATCTTCTTTTGCCCGAAAAAGCAGTATTTAAATGAAACTGAATCATATATACCTTGTTATTTTGGATAAAATCGCTTTCAAAACACAGTAGTTTGGGCAGGGTTACGTTCTGGCGTTCTTTTCGGCCCGGTCCTTTATGCCTCCACAAAGTTAATAAACGAAAAGTTATTATGAAGAACCTGAGGGAATTTAATTTTTCTGCAGAAATGTCTACCTGTACGGTTTATGTCTGTGTGAGCCAAATACACAGCTGTTCAGCCTTTTCTAACCGAAAGTTTAAGCTTTCAGCCATTAGCCGAGAGAGTGCTAGTTCGAAACTCACACTATTTCCGACACATACACAATAAGAACTACACTTCTGCAATTTGTCTTCTGGCTGCTCACTTCAGGTTGGCACTGCTTGCAGGACGAAGTCTACATTGAAAATTCCAGAATGTCTCCAAGTCGCCAAAAAGGCACTCTTTTCCTATGGTCCGAATCACGATTTTCCAGTTTCTGTTTCAGTAAATTCTTGCCTTACCAGTCATCCAATGAATATTAAGGTCACCAAAATGCATTGCATGCTACTTTACAACTGGGATTCCAACTGCTACTTTATGGTAACACACCCGTAAAAGAGGTGCCAAAGGAAATCCACTGTGCACAAATCTCTCGCCAAATGATTTGCATTGTCTATTCTACATTAACTAAAGACCATAAAAGTACCACGCCGGAATCCCTTGCAAATAGCTGCAATTTACCTAATTTTGTACTACATCTGTTGACACGATTTCACTAATCACTAGTCACGTAATCAGCTTTGGCCAATCGGTTACACTTTCCCCCAAAGTAAGTATTATGAAGGTTTTACCCAAGGAATGTTCCCCGAATCTTCCATAATCCCATATGAGTAGCAGTTGTACTCACAGGAGGGCAGTGCAGAAGTACTTGCATGCAAGGTTACAGAATTGCACCGTCTATTGTCACCTCGTAAGTCTTGAATGGATGGTTATGTGTGGGCACTCCTGTCTCAGGCCTCAGGTATGTTCTGCGATACAATCAATCGACTTAATCTTGGTCTTTCGGGACAACGGCGGGAAAATTTTTTTGACATGTAAAACCTGAACATTAGTTGGACGCAAGGGATACAAAGGTGCTATACGCAGATATAACTTGGATGACAAACCAGTGGGTACGATTTGGTGAAAGCAGAATGAACCGGTTCTCCTCAACCCAAACAGTAAAAATTAAGACCGGAATTACAGCCATTGATATATTTTTGGTGTGACTTGTTAACTGATCCTAAAAGTTTTGGTGTTCAATGCTAGGCTCCCGATGATTGGTCAGAAATTACAGTTATTTCTGTTGTTGCAGTTGAAAAGTTCAGCCTAGATCTGAGGAACTTATGTTTCCCCCAACCCTCTTTGTGAAGACTAACGGCCGAAGTCCGCTCAGGTATACAGATATGTACGCATACATCGTCAGTACTGTCGCGAACAAAATTTGGCACTGTCAAACCCTGAAAAAAAAAACAGCGAAGCTAACACGCGAATAAAAATTAAAGTAAAATGGATGAATGTATGGTAAAAGCAACAAAGTCTACCGCGCCTGTGTGTATTAGGTTCGAAAGGCAAAGATGGTCTGTGTGAAACATATTCTTGAATACAATCGTAAATATCCCAAATACTTTGACATTTTCCTTCGAATCTGAGTTTAATCCAGAGTCAAGAATAAATCCTTGACTGATCAAGGCAAAAGAAGCTGGATGGTGCGCTCGTATTTGTCTCAGTTTACGACCATAATGGAATAAGGACCAAATCCAAAAGATGCACGAAGGAAACCGGAACTTAAACAGGTGATAATTTAACTACCAGATAATGGCAGATTTTCAGGCTAAAAGGTGATTACAAATCTGCCACTGCTTTCAAGACGACCACGTTTTTTGCACTTACCTCTGAGGAGTTTCTTCCATAAATTCCAACAAATCTGTTTACGGTGTTTTCCGAGTCAATCAATGATGACAGAGCGGCTCCAAGAGCAAGAATTTCTCTCCCCACCTGAATTAAATGGATTTGCTGACTTTAGTTACGTGATTTGATTACCTGTTCATAGGTTCGCCAGTTTGGTTCGGAGTAGAAGTTAGCTCTTCTTCCAAAACAAGGAATATCTTCTAAAGCATGAAATAAAATTACCCTTTAAACAATGCTGCATTTTTTTGAAAAACTATACTCATTCAGTGCCTTAGAGATAGCTCAAGAGATCCTCGCGAAAGAAACAGTCGAATAGTGGTCACACCCCTGAAAAGTTCACATTATATCTCTTCTACCTGCGTTCATATGCATATTGCGACCCTAAGGCCTTTCAGCACGAAATTTCTTCATTTTTCATCAAGCTTACACCTATCTTACTGTTTCAGGTGAATTGGTGCTTAACATCTCGATGACGTTCGCCTTTAAACCACCTTTTAGTTCACAGCTGTGATTTACCTATGAACAAGTGGGATTCACAAACCCACCCGACACTTTCGACAGAAGGGAAGCTCGTTTTTTACCCGGGTAATCCTGTGTGCGTTTTCAATGGCAAGCTGATGGGGCTTAGAGATTACGAACATATCGCATTCACACCCCTAGCTAGCACGCATCATGGGCGAGTTTTCCCTTATCTAAGGACCAGACTACCCTCATATTACCCAGCACAAATCGATATGCTTAACATAAATATTTAACATGATTCCAAGTGTAGGTTGTTCTAAGTACTGCCCAACTGAAGTGAGTACAACGTTTGTGAACCAATCCTGTTGGATACCCTTAACGAACATGCTTGTAAACGTGGTTCACTTTCTAGATTATCCGTATTTGAGGACGCACCGAAAATAATATGAAACATCACAGTCGTTTCGCCGAAAGGCAAACCTTTAAAACCAAACCCACTCCTTCTAATAGACGAATCTTCTACTCAAAAGCTGTTTGGGGCTGTTTTAGAAAGTGAACACTATTTCTAAGCGAGACACCCAACGCCAAAGAGTTGGCTATTATCTTCGTTTAGAGAGTGTCATCGATACCATTGTAGCTGTAGATACTGCTGATGAGGGCATGCGAGTAGTGTTTTTTTTTCGTAAATCTGCTTCGCGTCTCTTGAAAAGATCTATTACAGAATTTGAGGAGTCGCATTTGCTTGCGTTAGAGCAACCGTCAATGAACATCCAGGAAAGTTCTGGAAGAGGCTCTCAAGGAGAAGATGGATATTCAGTTTTTGTAAACAAGGTGCAAATAAGAGTTTTACTTCCCTGTCCAATAGTCTGCAACGGTTCACTGGGCGTTTTCTAGTAAATAACTCCCAACGAAGGCCTTTTTCCCTTCGTTATCAATACCATAATCGATAGCATAACATCAGTATTCAAAACTGATACTTCTCTGCCATAGTAGAGGAATGCCGATGTCACTGACGNTGTAAGCAAGCAAGGTATCACTAAATGCCAAAAACCTGATCATGGATCATTTCTAATAGAATTGGCAAAACGATAGCCTGATTAGGAAAGGTCAGGAGATTTTTAACAAGTAATTTCTTACTTCAAGGATGGGTGTTTTTACGGAGGTATTACTGTTCCAACTGCTAATAGGTCGAGTAAAGTAGACAGTGTAAATATGATCCCCCTGGTGCGGTGATGAAAATTTCGAGCAGATCATAATCGGGTTGTAAGACCATATCAGTTGAGCCAATTCCAGCACGGTAGGAGAGACAGTGATAAATGACCTCAGCAAATCTACTGCATCTGGATTAACGGTAGACAATGATGGATGCCGTTGTTATGGACACCGCCAGAGGATGTTATGTGCCACGAGAGGTGAAACTGACCGATCGTCGCCTGCAGTCATTTCAGCAGTCAAATGGCATACTAGAAGGGGTCAAAAAGGTTCCCTGTTGCCATGCGGCTGCTTTTGGGCAACGTTGGCATAAAAGTGAAGGCTAAATGTATTAGTTTATTGATTATTCATGACAAGAAGACAGCGACTATCTCAACAGTGAATTTTAGTACTATGCTGGCAATCTGCAAACCTCAACTGGTATTTGGCTAGAACAGCAAACTTGAGCTGACTTTTTAATTTTCAAACCCGTCTTCTTTTATGTAGTTACTAAAAGAAGAATCCATTCGGTTTGCAAAAATGAAATTCTGTTGGCAAATTCTGCCACGCACTTGTTGACAGTCAGAAAGCGGTTTTAAACCGAAGTCTATTTCTATCCAGGTAGTGAATCTTTCTTCACTGGGTTCGCCTATAAGACGCTATTATATAATACAGAACGTTTAAAACAATACCCTAGTTGTTTCCTTAAGTGCGGTGTCCTTAGTCTGGTTAGAATAGGCGACCACATCACT